AAAGGCCACAGGTTCCACCCCTGGTCTGGGGAACTAAGGTCCCGCAAGACTCAGGGATGGGCAAGATAACAAAATGATTTTCTTTTGTTATTAAAACCAAATAGAAAAATAAAATTCTTTGTCTTCTATGGGGTCCCCTAAATCACTCCATTGATTTCAAGGACATTTTTGCTGCCTTCCCTCCCTCTCAGTGGATAAAGAAAATGAAGTCAGAACAGTCCAAAGGCTTCAGGCAAACTGTGTCCAGTCCACGTGACAGTATTACTGATTTCCCCTTTAATTTGCATTAAAGAAACTGAACTTTTGGTTGAAGTCGCTTTTGTTTCAAGGAGAAAGCAGACGAACTTTCATGCTAGGTACTGTCTCATGACCTTTTAACATTAACACGGCTCTCAGGAAAGAACTGGAATTTGGCGGCAAAGCTCTGCGTGAACATTATCACTTTTTAAATGTCTTATTTTTGACGATGCCCTACAAGCATTCTTTTGGAGAGGTTCCCATAAAGTTTAGCCAGTGGGAAACAGGAACCAGAGACCTGAGAGGCGGGACTGGTTTCGAGAATCTTCAGCCGAGAGTGAGAAAGCTGCATCTACAGAGGGTCGCCTCACAGCTTGCGGCTCCGTCCTGGTCCCAATGTCTCTGCTGGGGGCAGCTGCAGCCCTCCCGCCAAGTGGGGCGGGGGACCAACCCAAACGGTTGGTCTTTCCTCTGCATTCAGCCCCACCTACAATCCAGGATCCACACAGATTTAGAGGGATGATTGGGCTCAAAAAAGGCAGAATGATCAAAGAGATGATCACAAAACAGAGCGAGGAAAGGGGACGTTCTAACAGAGGCTGGGGGCTCACCTGCCAAGCTTTAGCTTTCAGAATAATATTTTGACTATAGTAGGGTAACCCAGATCCATTGTGAGGCATGAAAGACAGGCTGCCTCAGTAGCTTTACTGCTTTACCTTTTAATATTTTTGTCTGATTTTTAAAGTTTTATTTATTGTCAAACAATGCAGAAACCTATAGAGCTGAAAATTAAAGCCACCTTCTCTAATTCTACCTTCCTAGAAATAACTACCATAACAAATACTGTGTGTCTGTCCAAATCTTTTAATGTAAATATTGTATGTATAAATATATATATGGTATGATGTAGTGGTTAACAGGTTAACCACTAAAAGTCAGTCTGTTAGATACAGGCTAACTTTGACAATTCAGCCTTATCCTGGACATCAGTTTTCTCAAATGTAAACTGAAGATAATAATAAATAATAGCTCCTTTTTAAAATTAAAAAAAAATTTATAAACATAGATTCATACTACCTTTGTGGTTCTATAAGTGTAATTTCAGATGAATTTTTAAAAATTCTTTACAGATTCACAGGGAGTAGCAAAATAGTATTGAAAGTTCCAGTGCCCTTCATTCAGTTTCCCCCAATAGTTACATCTCACATAATGATAGTACAATATCAAAACCAGGAAACTCATGTTGGCACAGTGTGTATATACAGTTTAATGTCATTTTATCACATGTGCAGATTACTGTGACTACTACTGGAATCAAGATGCAGAACTATTACAAAACTACCAAACTCCTTCACAGTACCTGTTACAGCCATGTCCACCAACCATCAACCTCCACATCTCTGCTGCTACTGCAAAGTCACTTCAGTCGTGTCCGACTCTGTGTGACCCCATCCCTGGGATTCTCCAGGCAAGAACACTGGAGTGGGTTGCCATTTCCTTCTCCAACTCATAAAAGTGAAAAGTGAAAGTGAAGTCGCTCAGTCATGTCTGACTCTTTGAGACCCCCTGGACTGCAGCCTAACCCTTGACAATTACTAATTTACTTTCCATTTCTGTAATTTTGTCATTTTGAGAATGATATATAAATGAACTCATACTGTATGTATGAGTTTTGAGATCCCTTTTGAGACTGGCTTTTTTCACTCAGCAAAATACCCTTGAGATCCATTTACACATCTCAACATTAATTGTTTTTTATTGCTGTGTAGTATTCCATTTTGTAATGTACTTAAAACTTTTTTAAAAATTGTAGTAAAATACGTGCACATGACAAAAATTGCCATTGTAATCATTTTTAAGTGTACAATTCAGTGGCACTAAGTATATTTACATTGTACTTAATGTACTTACTACATACAACCACTACCACCACCCATCCATAGACATCTTCATCTTGCAAAACTGAAACTCTGTATCCATTAAAGAATAACTCCCATTTCTCCTTCTGCCACCCCCTGGCAACCACCATTCTACTTTCTGTCTCTATGAATTTGACTACTCTAGATAGCACAAATAAGTAGAATATATAGTATTTATCCTTTTGTGATTGGCTTATTTCACTTCACATAATGTCCTCAATAATGAACCATGATATAGCATGTCAAAATTTCCTTCCTTTTTAAGGCTGAATAAAATTCCATTGTATGTAAATCCATTCATCTGTTGATGGACATTTGGGTTGATTCTACCTTTGGCTATTGTGAAAAACGCTGCTATGAACATGGATGTTCTATAATGTACTTTTGTTTGTTAAAACTGTATCATGCCACCTGTTAACAAAATAGTATATGAAGGGAAATTTTTCTTTATAAAAGTAGTCTAGCTAATATTTTAAGTAGTAATGAGAAAGTATCAGCATTTTGTGACCTGTAATGAATTAATTGATCTAGGCATGGAGTGTAAATGACTGCTAATTTTTTAGTAAGAGACAATCAGACACTATTTGCCTTCTGGTAGAAGTACACCATACCAACTATGAAGCAGTGTTGCCATCAAATCTCTACATCATACTATGTAGTAACAGGAAATACAAAGGACAGAAAAGCAGGTCAAAACTACCTCAGAAATGCAACCACAAAATTCAGATTGTGAGAACAATAACAACACAGTTTCTTTAGCAAGAAGTTGCAAGTAAGGACACACACACACACAGAGGAAACTTATAAATTGAAAGATATTTAAGAATCCCCACCAAAAACTTGTGCAAATGTTCATAGCAACAGTATTCATAATAGTAAAAAAAAGGGAAAACCTAAATATTTATCAGCTGATGAACAGATAAACATGATGTGGTATGCCCATGCAGTAGAATATTATTCAGCAATAAAAACATGCTGCAACATGGATGAAACTTGAAAGTATGTTCAACAAAATACACCAGTCATGAAAGACCACAGATTGTATGATTCTGCTTATGTGAAATGTCCAGAATAGGCAAATTCATAGAGACAGAAAGCATATATGGGGTGATGGGGGATTTGGGAGGTAATGGCTAAGGAGTGAGGGTTACTTTGGGGGATGAAAGTGTTGTAAAATTGACTGTGATGCTTGAACAACTCTAATATACTAAAATGTATTAAATTTTACATTTTAAATAGATGAATTATATGGTATGTGATTATATATCAATAAAACTATTAAAAAGTATTTAAGAAGCATATGAATCAATCACAACATGTGGACCCTATTTATATTCTGATTCAAATGATTAAAAATGAAATTTATGATACAATTGGAAATTTGAACACTAACTAGATACTTGAGGATATTAAAATATTTATTACTATTTTTAAAAGTGGGATGACAGTATGGTTATCACACAATGGGATGATACTTTTGGTTTTTAATAGGGTCTTTTACTTTCAGAGATACATACTGAAATATTTTTATAGGTGAAATAATGTCTGGGATTTCTTTTATTTTTATTTATTTTTGGGGGGGTTTCTTTTAAAATGAGTCGGGAAATAAACAAGTGAGGATACAAATGAAACATGACTTCCCATGACATAATAATTATTGAAGTTGGGTAATGGAGCTATGTCAGGCTGGATGAAAACACAAGCTGGAATCAAGATTGCCGGGAGAAATATCAATGACCTCAGATATGCAGATGACATCACCCTTATGGCAGAAAGTGAAGAAGAACTAAAAAGCCTCTTGATGAAAGTGAAAGAGGAGAGTGAAAAAGCTGGTTTAATACCCAACATTCAAAAAACGAAGATCATGGCATCCAGTCCCATCACTTCATGGCAAATAGATGGGGAAACAATGGAAACAGTGACAGACTTCATTTGCTTGGGCTCCAAAATCACTGCAGATGGTGACTGCAGCCATGAAAGTGAAAGACGCTTGCTCCTTGGAAGAAAAGCTATGACCAACCTAGATAGCATATTAAAAAGCAGAGATTTAACTTTGCCGATAAAGGTCCGTCTAGTCAAAGCTATGGTTTTTCCAATAATCATGTATGCATGTGAGAAAGTGAAAGTGAAAGTTGTTCAGTTGTGTCCGACTCTTTGCAACCCCATGGACTATACAGTCCATGGAATTCTCCAGGCCAGAATACTGGAGTGGGTAGTTTTTCCCTTCTCCAGGGGATCTTCCCAACCCAGGAATTGAGCCCAGGTCTCCCACATTGCAGGTAGATTCTTTACCAGCTGAGCCACAAGGGAAGTTCAAGAATACTGGAATAGGTAGCCTATCCCTTCTCCAGCAGATTTTCCTGACCCAGGAATCGAACCAGGGTCTCCTACATTGCAGGTGGATTCTTTACCAACTGAGCTGATGTGAGAATTGGACCATAAAGAAAGCTGAGCGCTGAAGAATTGATGCTTTTGAAATGTGGTGTTGGAGAAGACTCTTGAGAGTCCCTTGGATGTCAAGATCAAATCAGTCAATCCTAAAGGACATAACTGAGCTACTGAACTGAACTGAATGGAGGTATGAGAACTTATTGTAATCTAGTCTGTCCATCTTTGTGTATATTGAAAATTTTCCATAAAAATACATACTAATGAACATATTTCCATGTCAGTATATGGAGATGTACTTCATGCTTTTTTTTTTTTTTTTAGTATTGAAAACTTTTATATTTGGAATTAGCTAGATGGACTCAGTTTAGGTGATCCCAATTTTGTTGGCAACATTCAAAGCATCCTAGTCAGGAGCCAGTTGAACATATGCCTTCTTCTCTCCATCAGGCCTTATCAGGAGTTGACCTTAGCCACATCAATGTCATAGAGCTTCTTCACAGCCTGTGTAATTTGGTGCTTGTCAGCCTTGACATCCACAATGAATACCCATGTGTTGTAGTCTTCTATTTTCCTCATGGCTGACTCGGTGGTGAGGGAGAATCTGATGATGGCATAGCGGTCAAGTTTGTTTCTCCTAGGGGCACTCTTCTGAGGATATTTGGGCTGCCTCCTGAGCCATAGTGTTTGGCTGACGCCAGGAAGGTGGGTGACATCAGATCTTCTTTTTTGGTGGATGTGGACGCCTTTGAACACTGCTTTCTCGGCCTTCAAAGCCTTTTCTTTGGCTTCGACTTTAGCAGGGCCAGGGGCTTCCTTCTTCACCTTTGCCGCCATCTTCATGAAAAAGGGTTTCTGTATTTCATGCTTTTTAAGAGCTACATATACTTCCATATTTATATATAAACAATTCCCTATTAGAGGATATTTGGATTGCTTCCAAAATATTTAATATTCTAAATGATGCTGCAGGAAATATCCTTGTCTCTGCTCATCCTAAAGGAAATCAGTCCTGAATATTCATTGGAAGGACTGATGCTGAAGCTGAAACTCCAATACTTGGGCCACCTGATGTGAAGAACTGATTCATTTGAAAAGACCCTGATGCTGGGAAAGATTGAAGGCAGGAGGAGAAGGGGATAACAGGGGATGAGATGGTTGGATGGCATTACCGACTCAGTGGACATGAGTTTGAGTAAACTCCAAGAGTTGGTGATGGACAGGGAGGCCTGGCTTGCTGCAGTCCATGGGGTCGCAAAGAGTCGGACACGGCTGAGAGGCTGAATTGAACTGAACAGAGCTGCCCAACTAGCCATTTCCTTAGAATAAATTTCTAGAAGTAAAAGTGTTAGGTCAACTGATGTGAATGTTTTAGATTTTTATATACATGGAGAGATTGTTTTCTAGGAAAATTCTTGCACTTACTTATTTTCCCACACTTACAATAAAATATTGGTCACTAGCAATCCTATCCTTTTTTATAAAAAGAGTTTATTGCCATTTAACTTTTATACCATTAAATTCACTCATTTCAAGAGTGCAAGTCAATGATTTTTAGTACATTAGTTATAGTTATGCAACCATTACTCTATAAGTTATAGTTAGGCAACCATCTCCACAAATTAATTTTAGAATATTTTTATCACCCCATAAAGAAACTTAGTGTCCATTTATTGTCAACCCTTAGTCCTACTCCCAGCCCTATATGAACAGTAATCTACTTCTTATTGCTATAGATTTGCCTTTTTAGGACATTTCATGAAAGTGAAATTATATACAATATGTGTTCCACTTAGCATGCTTTTGAAGTTCATCCATGTTGTACCATGTGTCAATATTTGTTACTTTTTATTGCTGAATAGTATTCTATTATATGGATATGCCATATTTTGTTTATGCATTCATCAGTTAATTGACAACCAAAATGCTGTTTCCCCTTTTTGGCTATTATAAATAAGGCTGCTATGAATATTCACATGCAAGTCTTTGTGTGGGCCTGTGTTGTCATTTCTCTGGGTAGATCCCTAGGGGTAGAACTGATGTGTCATATGAAAATTCTGTTTAGCGTTTTGGATAACTGTTTTCTAAAAGACCTGCACCATTTTACATTCTCACCAGAAGTATAAGAGGATTCTGACTTCTCCACATTCTGACCAATGCTTGTCTTTTTTTTTAAATAGTCTCTTAGTAGGTATGAAATGGCCCCTCATTTTGCTTTTGATTTGGGACCATATTAGTAATCTCAAGACAAAAATATAGGTGATTTTAATTCTGCGTGATAAACCCTATGAAAGTGAAAGTGAAAGTCACTCAGTCGTGTCCAACTCTGCAACCCCATGCACTATACAGTCCATAAAATTCTCCAGGCCAGAACACTGGAGTTCTTTCCCTTCTCCAGGGGAACTTCCCAACCCAGGAATCGAACCCAGGTCTCACAGACTACAGTCAGATTCTTTACCAGCTGAGTCACAAGGGAAGCCCAAGAATACTGGAGTGGGTAGCCTATCTCTTATCCAACGGATCTTTCTGACCCAGGAATCGAACCAGGGTCTCCTGCATTGCAGGCAGATTCTTTACCAACTGAGCTATCAGGGAAGCCCTGGGGTAAATCCTATAGCAACAGTAAAAACAACAACAGTCATCATTTTTACTGACCCCTGACTCTGAACTTTATTCTTATTTAATCTTCCAAACCACCCTATGAGGCAGATACTACTTTTAAGATGAGTAAATGATTTCCACATCAGGAAGCCAAGGCTTTGGTAAAGATAAGCACAGACAGTTGTGTAGCACAAAGGAGGGGTCCTCATTTAGACTGGGGGGTTCAGAGAAGGAGTTTTGGAGGGGACAACCTCTCATTTGAAAACTGAGTTACACATAGGTGGTACCAGGCCTTGGAGAAGGAGGGCTGCCTTGCCAGGCATAGGAAAAGCAGGCACAGAGGCTTGTGAGTTGGGGAGCTATTGTGGCCGTTCTCTCCCCTGTACCAGGATCCATTACCAGAATTCCCAGGACAAGCATCTGTCCCCCGCCAGCTCTGCCTGTTTCTCCCCAAGACCCCTTTGTCATCTTGTGGACCAGATCCTGCAACCAAACTACCCTTTGAGAATAAGGGGTTACTCCAGATACTGCCCAGCCCCTGGGAATGGATGGCCTGTCACACTCACAGGGTGGCCTGAGTAAGATCAGCATGTCCAGCTGCCAACACCAAAGCCAGACTGGAAGTCATGCACGTGTGTATGTGTGTGGGGTCTCCTTGGTAAGCCACACCCTCCCCCAGCCCCAGAATCTCCACCTTGAGATTTCCTCTTGGGAATCAAAATTTCCCTTCTAAAATATAAACAACCCTTGCAAAGGGGCACTGCAGCTCTTAACTCCTTAGGACAAATTGTGTGAGTTATTTTATAGAGAATAGTGAGAAAGATAATTCTGTCTTTCAACAAGTGTTCATGGAGCAGCTATTTTGTGCTAGCTCCTATGGTGGCTCCTAACACTGGGCACCAGGATGTAAAGGAGATAAAGCCCCAGCCCTCATAGAGCTCACATCCTAATGAAGGAGTGTTTAAAGTTACTGTAACCATGTAACAAATTACCCCAAAATTCCGTGAAGTAATAATTTAGTATGCTCATGGATTTCCCACTTCAGAAATTCGGATAGGGTACAGTGTAGTTGGCTTATCTCTGCTCTGCCGTCTCTAGGGCTTCTGCTGGAAGCTATCTATGTGTGGTTGCTGGTCCTGGCAGCCTGAGTCCCTAACTGGGGCCAGAGGCTGAATATTTGAATGTAAATGGAATAAGAGTGCCCGGGGGATGAGACTCTGAAAAGGACTGTGGCGCTATAATAACAGCTCATGTTTCTTTTTAATAATTTTATTTATTTAAGTATTTATTTTTGGCTGTATTGTATCTTTGTTGCTGTGCAGGCTACTCTCTAGTTGAGGTAAGTGGGCATCTCATTTCAGTGGCTTCTCTAGTTGCAGAGCACGGGCTGTAGGTTACATGCTTCATTGAGGCACAGGCTCCATAGTTGTGGTGCAGGTACACAGGATTAGTTGCTCTGTGGCAGTGGGATCCTCTCAGACCAGAGATGAAACCCATGTCTCCTGCATTGACAGGCAGTGTCTCCTGCATTGACAGGCAGATTCTTTACCACTGAGCCACCAGGGAAACCCCTCAGCTCATGTTTATTAAGTGCTTAGTATGTGCCAAATATAGGGAAGACATCCCATGTAACCCAGGAAAGTGGGTGAAAATGGAGCTCCAATAAAATTTTTTTTAATTACACAAATGATTTTTTAAAATTATGTGTTTTCTTTCCATAAAGAGAAGCATACTATTTTTTGCTTCAACTTGCTGTTTTACATGTCAATATATCAGGGACATCTTTACATGTTACATTCAGAACTATACTTTTCTTTTTAAAGACTGTAGAATCTTTCATAATAAGGATTCTATCATAGGTAATTTAATTAATCCCTTATTGAGGGAGAAAATTAAGGAAAAATTAATTTTTAAAAATTAATTTTAAAAATTAAGAAAAATTAATTTTTCTTGACACGTTTGTAGGATAAATCCTAGATGTATTATTAGTAGATGAAAGGATATGCAAATTTAAATGTTCAGTAGGTATTGCCAGATTATTTGCTAAGGAGGCCATAAGATTTACACTCTCTACCAACAGTATTAGTAAATAAGACCACATGGTTCCCTACACCCCACAACATCCCTCATCACAAATGGGTTAGGTATACCTTTTCATATGCTTTTTGGCCACTTGCATTTTATGCTTGGACACCTGCATGTCTATATCTCTCAAGCTGGCATCTTTATTTGTAAAAATGGGGTTGTAGACAGATGGGAATCCCAAGCGTGAAAATTACAAAATCAAGAATGAATGACCCCCCCCCCAAAAAAAGAATGAATGACCCCTCCTACACTGTTGGTGGGAGTTACATTGGTACAACCGCTATGGAAAACAGCATGGAGATTCCATGAAAAACTAAAAAAAAAAGAGAGAGAGAGAAAGAGTTATATGAGCAATCCTACTCCCAGGCATATATCCAGAAAAGTCAGAAGCTCTAATTTGAAAAGATACCCATACCCCAGTGTTCATAGCAGTACTATTTACAATAGCCAAGACATGGAAGCAACCTGAATGTCCTTCAGGTTGAATGAATGGATAAAGGGGATGTGATGTATATACAATGGAATATTACTCAGCCATAAAAATAATGAAATAATGCCATTTGCAGTGACATGGCTGGACCAGAGATTATCATACTAAGTAAAGTAAGTCAGACAGAGAAAAGCAAATATCAGAGAAATCACTTACATGTGGAATCAAAAAAGGATTAAAATGAACTTATTTATAAAACAGAAATAGACTCATAGACATAGAAAACAAACTTACCGTTACCAAATGGAACATGCGGAGAGGGATAAATTAGGAATTTGGCATTAACAGGTACACACTACTATGTGTAAAATAGATAAACCACAAGGACCTACTTTATAGCACAGGGAACTACATCTTGTACGTATAATGGTAAAGAATCTGAAAAAGAGTAACTGAATCACTTTGCTATATACCTGAAACATTATAAATCACCTATACTTCAACTGAAAAAAAGGAAAGAATGGGGCTTTCCTGATGGTCCAGTGGTTAAGAATCTGCCTTGCAATGCAATGGACACCGGTTCGTTCCCTGGTCCAGGAAGATCCCACGTGCTGAGGAGAAACTAAGCCTGTGAGCCTCAATTACTGAGACTGCCTGATGCAACTACTGAAACCTAGGTGTCTAGAGCCTGTGCTACCCAACAAGAGAAGCCACTGCAACGAGAAGC